CCAGCATTAGTAACACAATTATATGGATATGTACATGTAACGATTGGTTGGTTGTTGGTTATAAAAAGTCCAGTGACAAGTATCTCATGCAAATTTAAGACCAGAGAGTTAACAATACATTAACATACAATATGTACATGATGTATAGGTCCTGTAAAAGGCCATCCCACACAACAAAAGTTAGCCAATGCCCCACATGTTAGAGTTTAACAGTAAGACGATGAAGATCAAGAGTAACATTTTTTTTATTCCCTTGACCTTGTCACCCTTTGGGTGATGTATGCAAAGTAAATAAGGGATTAAATGACATACACATGATAAAAGGGGGAGGGGGAATGGTATCATACATGAATGTCAATGATGCACAACTTTTCCAAGCCCAAATCCTAACTTTGCCTTGGAACATGCAACTATGCACGAGTGTGGTGATATAGATCGTCGATTCATAGCCTGTCTGTAGGGTAGGAAGAACAAATGTGCACATTTTCCCTTCAAAATCATGGATCCATGATTATTCGATAGACATGCTTTAAAATATTGTTCATTTCTACTCACCGATTGTAATTTCCAGCTCAGGTTATATTGCACATGTGGTCTAACATCTGTAGTTTCCTGTGTAAAATATAGTTTGCCGACCTGCAGGTCCAGCTTGCCGACAAGAAAATAAAGAGGGTAAATCGTTCACGGTGAACAATTGTTTTCCGTTTTTAATGAAACTTGACAGATTTAATTAATTTTTTTTTATCATCGGAAATATCCCTCATGGGGAGTAATTCAAATTAAAACTGATTTATTATGCTGTACAATATTGGTACTTAGTCATATTCTTTAAATTTACTTCAGGTACACCGACGGTACATTTTCTATTCCTCAGAATTTTTCAAAACTTTTTCAAATATAAATTTGAATGAATTCATTAGTATCTTCTGCAATAATATTAAAACTCCATTTTCAAACGAAGGCTTCTGGTATGTAAAACCAGTTATGAACGAATCTGAATAGATAAATTAAAAAGTACAGATACCTAAAGGAAAGTCAAACGCACATGTCAAAAATGAACGGACAATGCTATGGCAATAAACGGAAACCGACAAAAGACAAACAACGATCGCAAAATAAATAAATAAAAAACAAAACAAGTCAACAACCGCACAATAGATAATAATAGTATAAATTATGGGCTATTTCACAACTATATCAAATCTTCAGAGCCGGGTGAAACGTAATTTCTTTTTTACACTGAGTTGCTACCGTGACGCTAAAATATTTGTCGACTGCAACAACCTATGAAATGTTTGTTTTAAACATTTAACGACTGTAGCAACCTTTTACAATTTGTAATAAACATTTTATGACTGTAACAACCTTTAAAAAGTTGTAACAAACATTTTACAACTGTCCCAACTCTAAAAACGTTGTAACAAACATTTTTTGACTGCACCAACGTCTGAAAAGTTGACACAAACAAATTTCAACTGTCCCAACTATTAAAAGGTTGGGACAAACATTATACAACTGCCACAACTTTTGGAAAGACTGTAATAAATAGTATTTGACTGTGACAACCCCGTAAACCACTGCAACAGTCCTTAAATTACTGTTGATAACATTTTTTTGATTTTCACAACCCATAAAAGTGTTGGGACAGACATTAATCAACTGTATCAGTTTCTTTGACAGTCATCTTCAGTCTTCCACAGACTAAGACAGTCGTACAACGACTGTTACTGGTATGGACAGTTGTTTTTTCGTCCAGTAGTGAATGTGGACCAGAAACAAAGTGTTACTGTTGAAAATGGAATGCTTGTCATTTCCAATAAACCTTCAAAGGTCAATACTATAAATAACATTGAATTATGGACTGAAGCTTTTGCAAATTTTTCTAAAATACTTCTTCAAAAGCATGCTAGCTTAGCACAAGACTTGTTTACATACATGTCAATCATAAGAGATGCTATATCAGATGCTCCTTTTGACAGAGTTTACCAGTATGATAGACAATTTAGATTACGTGTATCACTAAATCAAACCAAGTCTTGGTCTAAGATTGATGGCTTTCTTTGGTTGAAATTCATTGCAAAGGGATCGCAAGGCACACCTAATCCTGTAGTCTATCAGGCTAACTTACAAAAACCTTGTTATGATTTTAACTTTAAAGGATTTTGTCAGAAATCTCAGTGTTTTTATAGACATAACTGTATGAAATGTTCATTACAACATCCAGCCTTATCATGTGTTAGATTTGACAGGTTACAAGGTAACCAAGGTTTTCATTATGGATCAATGAGGCCACCAATGTTTAACCAAAATAGACCTCAAATGTCATACCAGTTTCGACAAAACAGGCCTTCATTTGTTCAACAAAATAGATATAGGCCACCATTTAACACAAGGTATTCAGTACCTAGATTTAATCAAATGAATTGAAATTAACCTTTCTTTCAGATTTTTCAAAGGATAGATATGATATTTGGAAGATGGGACATTCACCTATTAATATTAAACAATTACAGTTATTTTTAACAGATTATCCTAATGAACAGGACAAACAAATTTTGTTTAATGGTTTTAAATTTGGATTTAGTTTGAATTATCATGGACCAAGATTTCCATTTGAATCAAAAAATTTAAAATCTGTTTTGTCAAATCCTGTTGGAGCTAGATTTAAGATTGAATCTGAAATATCATTAGGAAGAATAGCAGGTCCTTTTTGTAAACGACCAATATCTAATCTTAGATGTTCTCCTATTGGGTTAGTTCCTAAAAAAAAACTGGGGGACTTCGTCTAATTACCCATTTATCATATCCGCCATTGAGCAGTGTTAACGATTTCATTGATGAAAGGTTTACCTCGGTTAAATATTCTTCATTTGATAATGCTGTTAATATGGTTAAGAAACTTGGAAGAGGTGCTAAATTAGCCAAAATGGACATTAAGTCAGCATTTAGATTACTTCCGGTTTATCCAGGAGATTTTGATTTACTTGGTTTTAAAATTGAAGATGAATACTACATAGACAAGGCAATGGCAATGGGCTGCTCAATTTCATGTGCTATTTTCGAAAAGTTTTCAACCTTTTTGCATTGGGTTTTAAAAAGCAAGTCTGGTTCAAATAATATAGACCACTATTTGGATGATTTTTTATTTGGTGGCAAATCAGATTCTGATGAATGTGAACAACTGATGTTTCAGTATGATGAAATTTGCAAAAATTTAGGAGTCCCACTTGCAAATGAAAAAACTGAAGGTCCAACTACACTGATTGAATATCTGGGTCTTACAATTGATACGGTAAATATGCTTGTTAAAATTCCACATAAAAAGGTTGAAGAACTTTTAGACAGAATTATTAAGTTGTCAGCCATGAAAAAAGTAACGTTAAAAGAATTGCAGTCAATATGTGGTTCATTAGCTTTCTGCACAAAGGCTCTACCTGCTGGAAGAGCGTTTAGTTGTCGTTTGTATTCAACCATGGGCAAAGTTTCAAAACCGTTTCACTTTATTAGGTTGACATCAGGCATGAAAAATGATTTATTAATGTGGAAATTATTTTTGGAACAGTTTAATGGGATTTCGTATATAAATGATATAGGATGGATATCAAATTTTGATCTTGAACTATATACAGATAGTGCTGGTGGATTAGGTAAAGGGTGTGCAGCTTATCTTAATGGTAAATGGACTTTTCTCGAGTGGCCTAAAGAATGGAATAGTTCAGAAATATTTAAAGATATAACATACCTTGAAATCATTCCAATAGCACTTGCAATATTTTTGTGGTTTGATCAATTTTACAAGAAAAACATACTTTTTCACATTCCTAATTTGGCAGTAGTGAATATTTTAAACAAAAAGTCAAGCAAATCTGAACGAGTTATGTCCATTTTGAGATTAATTGTTTACTGTTCACTTATTGGTAATTTTCAGTTTAAAGCTGTTCACATTTTGTCAAAGGACAATGCAATTGCTGATGCATTATCTCGTGCAAATTTTCAGAAATTTCGACGTCTAGCACCACTAGCCAACGATCGTCCACATCCAATTCCAGTGGAGTTCTGGAACCTTTTAAAGACGAAGTGAATAAACTTTTACAGCACTCTGTTTCTTCAAATACAACGAATGTGTATAAAAATGCAATCTGTTCATTTAATAAATTTCGGACCAGTTTTCAAATAGAGGAAAGTTGGCCACCGTCTGTTGATCACATAATTAATTACGTTGCATATCTTTCAAAAAATGGTTATTCCTACACCACTGCAAAAACATATCTATCAGGAATTAATCATAAGTTGAAAATGAATAATTGGAATGATTATAGCAAATCATTCATTTTGGAAAAAATGTTAAAAGGTATGCAGCGTTTGGGTAAAAGAGTTGATTCAAGAAAACCTATTACTGTTGATGTATTGAAACGGCTTATATTAATTCTTCACCATGTTTGTAAGTCAATTTATGAGACAAAACTGTTTAGGGCAGCATTTGCTTTAGCCTTTTTTGGATTTATGAGAATTGGAGAAATCACATATGTTAACAAAAATGCTGATAATCATGTTTTAAAAATATCAGATATTAAATTTAATGATATTGATTCTGAAGTTTTTGTTACTATAATGTCTTCAAAGACGGATCAAATTGGTTGTTCAACAACTTTAATATTGTCTTCAAATGATAATGATAACGAACTGTGTGTTGTCAAAATGTTAAAAGATTACTTACAGTTACGTCCAGATTCTCAAGGCCAACTTTTTTGTCATATTAATCACAATAAATTGACTCGTTTTCAGTTTTTAGCTGTTTTAAGGTCTGCTTTGAATTTTATTAGTTTGAATCCTGAGGAGTTTAATACGCATTCATTCCGAATAGGGGCTGCAACTACTGCAGCCTTGGAAGGCAAAACGGATGAAGAAATACAAACCCTGGGGAGATGGAATTCTAATTCTTTTAAATCATATATAAGGCTCAGTCGTTTGGTAAATTAAATAATTTTAATTGTTTTCAGGCATTTTTGTGGTTTGGATTATTGGATCTTCCTTGGTTGCCAAAGCCTCATCACATAGTCAAATAAGACCTTTGGGAAATGATTTGGGGTTGCATAAGTTAGGCTACAAGTTGATGTGGGCAGGAATGTCCGGTATGTCAGTATATAACGTTGTACCAATAGTAGAGAATTTGATACATTGTTGCGGTTTACCAGATGCTGTTTTGCTTCACTGTGGTGGCAATGATATTGGACTTGTTAACTGTGCCAAACTTTTATTTGATATTAAATTTATGCTAGATATAGTTGCACGTATGGTGAATGGAGGTAAAATTATTTTTTCAAGCATTTTACCAAGGTTGAAATGGAGATATTCAAAAGATTTGAAAGCAATGGATGCAACCAGGAAACGTTTAAATAGGGGGGTTAAATCACATTTAAATAAAACTGGGGGTTACACTATAACTCATTCTGATTTTGAAGACAAACATCAATCTTTATTTAGTCATGATGGCGTCCATTTGTCGTTTATTGGCAATGATATATTTTTGAATTCATTTCAAACTGCTTTAGAACAATTTTACTATATACCAAATAATTCTGTTTATCCGATGCATGAATGATGTTGTTTGTTTATTTTTGTTGTATGTTGAAAAGAATAACAACTAGTTGATTATATTTTCATTGAATTTATGCTGCTTATTAAATTGTCATGGCGGATTAGCATTTGATTGAGAGTTCACTAAAATGCCAATTTTGGCAGTGATTTATTCAAATATCGTTCATTAAGCTGTTATGGATCTGCCCAGCAGCTAGAAATTGTTATGCATTTACTGTTGGTTTCCCTTCAGTGACCAATTGTCATCAAGTTTTAACTTGTTGGCCAGTTTGTTGATGTTGGTTGTTTGTTGGTTTATATTGTTGAATATTGTTGAATAAATGCCATGACAAATAATCAGCCAAATTTCAAATTTCAATTGTTTGTTTGTTGTTTATATTATTCTTGCGAAGGAATGAAACAAAACAAATCTGCAGTTGTATATTCATTGCACACATTGAATATGCAATAATAAAATTTAATGATCTAATAATTAAATTGATTTATTGCATTAACAATACATTTATTTGTTTATTGTGTTTCAAATGTACGTCAGTCCATTATTTACGTTTTGCCATTTAAATACTTACAACCATATATTTAAACATACGAAAGAATATGCTTTGAAGCGCCTCGTGGACTTTGGTCATATATAAACACGTGTTCCCGCTAAATTTTCATTCCACGAGTATTTTTCAACAAGATTACACAACCCACCCTCCCTCCCTTTAACGAACAAAATTGCTGCTGTTTTTTAGTTTATTTTTCAGATTACATGGTGAACAGATCCAAATGTATTGAATGTTCCAATTAGATTGTCATGTATCATCAAAATTGTCAGACGTTTCAATATTCATCGGCAGATCCAATGAAACCTGAATATTCAAGGAATTTGCAGGAATAATTAAAAAGAGAATATCTATCGTCATGGCATTCCGTTCAATATGGAAAGTGCGTTGGATGTCATCATCAACAAGATTCAACTGGCAGTGATTTATTCAAATATCGTTCATTAAGCTGTTATGGATCTGCCCAGCAGCTAGAAATTGTTATGCATTTACTGTTGGTTTCCCTTCAGTGACCAATTGTCATCAAGTTTTAACTTGTTGGCCAGTTTGTTGATGTTGGTTGTTTGTTGGTTTATATTGTTGAATATTGTTGAATAAATGCCATGACAAATAATCAGCCAAATTTCAAATTTCAATTGTTTGTTTGTTGTTTATATTATTCTTGCGAAGGAATGAAACAAAACAAATCTGCAGTTGTATATTCATTGCACACATTGAATATGCAATAAATACTTTTTACTCAGTGGGACACACCCACCCGTCCCGTAACATTTGATGTCCGGCGGTGGGATACGTATAAAACCAAACCTCGAGAGTAGAGACTCTAGCCAGTATATTTATTTAATGAAACTCATTGACTTACTTGTACAACAGATTAAATATAAACATGAGTAATTGTGTTCGCCCGTCAGAAAATTCTGTTACTAACAGTTGTGCGTCTACCCCAGTAAATGAAAATTCGTGTGCACTGAATAAGAAAGTTGAGGTCATTACAAATATAGTTAACCAGTTCAGTAGAACTTTGAATACCTTAGGGGACCATTTTAGTAAATTTGAAACTCAGATACAGATAACTAATGAAAAAGTAGAAAAACTTGAAAATCTGACTGAATCGCTTTTAAATAGTATCACAAAAAATAGAAGACCAAGTGGCAAATTTATGTATGAATGTTTTAGGTAATGTACCAAAAGTTAACGATTGTTCATGTGATCATACAATTTCTAATATAACCAACAATGTGTGCGGGAGTAGTGAATCAAATCAGTCTTCAAACCGAGAACCAGTATACAGCGAGACTATTGGGTATACCAAACCATCAATCTACGATGGGACCACCAACTGGTTTGAGTACAAGTTAAATTTCGAGGCTGTTGCTAAATTAAATAATTAGTCTGAAGATATCAAAGTTTTAAAGCTTATTACATGTATGAATGGTGCTGCTTTATCGACCTTAGCTGATATTGAGATAGATAATCTCCCAACATATAGTAATTTACTTAAAATATTAACCAAAAGGTTTGCTCCTGAAAACCTGACAGATGTTTATATGTCACAAATTGACGCTTGTATTAGAAAACCAGGCCAACCATTACAGGAACTGGCTGATGATATAAAAAGACTTGTCAGAATGGCTTACCCATCAGCGACTCTCGATACCAGAGACTATTAAACTTATACGGCATTTAGAAAAGCACTAAATGACCATGATTTAGAATTGGCTATTATACAAAGCAATGTAGAAACCATTGACGGGGCGTTGTACTGTGCTCTGAAATGTAAAACTTTTAGGGCTAGAAGGAAAAGGTTTAAACAGCAGCCAAAATTTGAAATTCAAGCTTGTATAAATGCCAAGGCAAACCAGAAGTGTTATTTCTGTAATGAGAAGGGACATACAATTAGAGACTGTCCTAAGAGAACGTAATCGTTAATTTTTGTTACATTCAGATACCATGAATGTTAACATGTGAAAATGTTGTTTTTTTATATATTATTATGAAAATGAATGTTGTACTAGTAATAGTCATTTTCATAATACCTGAAAATGAGTTCGCTAAATATTTCAGTATTTACAGATAGAGTTATACCTAATTAAATCACATTGTTTTACCAGTTGAGACTGCTGTGTTGCTGTTATATATGAGTTCATGTTACCAATTAATAACCTTTCTTATAGACCATTTTATGATAAACAGAGTTGTATGGTTGGACTTTTGTTATTGATTACCGTATTATTTACTAGTATACAGAAATATTCTGATTGATTCATCGACATGTCTGAGTGACGTATGGGATGTCAATGGAATATATTTATTTGGTATTGTCCCGGTGACTCACCGACGTGTCTATGTGACGGGTGGAATGTCTGTGGAATACCATGCAGTGTTTTTGTTACCCATATTAGTTTACCCATGTTCCCGATGACTCATCGACGTGTCTGTGTGACGGATAGAAGGTCTGTGGAATATTTTTATTTGGTATTGTCCCGGTGACTCACTGACGTGTCTATGTGACGGGTGGAATACCATGCAGTATTTTTGTTATCTATATTTGTTTACCAGTGTTCCCGGTGACTCATCGACGTGTCTGTGTGACGGATGGAAGGTCTGTGGAATATTTTTCATATGGTATTGTTATGATTCACTGACGTGTCTATGTGACGGGTGATATGCAAAAAAATTGGAGTACCATTTATTAGCCATTTATTTATTTAAACCAGCCATATCATGTAGTTTACAACAAGTAGAGCAATCACTTTATATTGAAACCAGATATATACTAGTATTCAGAGTATCTTAATACCAGAGATACAATATTATACCATGTTTAAAACCATATATTAAAATCAGAGATATAGTATCCATACCATATATGTTATCTCAGTGCCAGAGATAAGAACTATTGATGATTATTGTGATGAATTTTACCATGTCAACAGAGACAACAACAACAGAGAAGATCCTGTTTTATTTTTTTTAATAGGTTGATAAGCAGGTATTTATTAGGCAGGTGTCCAATTTTTAGTTCGAGGACGAACTCTTTTCCTGGGTAGGGGGTAGTGTTACGGTTTAGGGGTTAAGCTGTAGGTTTGAAGATACGACTTTTGGGGCTAATCAGTAAACACTCCCTTCTATTTTCGCGTCCGTCGTTTACTGTTAGCCAACGTGTATATAAAGACATTTGACGAACATTACATACTTTTATTGTTATTGTATGTAAATATTGTTTGTATGGTATCTGGGAGTAAAGATATAAGAGTTCGCCTTCACTGTTTGATCAGGGGAGTCCCTTGACTGAACGATAGTTCCCATCTTCTGTTTACCCTTATTTCACACGTTCCCACTTTATTACCTTGCTAGTTTATTTGCGTAAGGCCCGAGTATTGTAACTGGGGCCCATACATGCTAAGAGTAAGCTTAGTTAAGTCCCGTTTGTCCATTTCCCGACTTGACAGAATGTCAACATTTGCAATCGCCGCCATTTGCATCATCAAGTTTATTGACGTCGTGACCTAATGACCCGAGATCAGCATCCAATCAGCTTTACGTAATTTGCCAACAATCACCATAGGGGCACGAGACGTTGGTGGGACAGATGCTTAAAACCGAGTGCACATCAGTCTTCAAGGAGACTGCAGCCCGCTACCAGGGCGTTCACTCCTGATACCAAGGAAATTACAAGAGCAAACCAAATACGCCGCAGTCGATGCAACCCGTAAAATACACGTACCTTTGATATCGTATACATCCCCGTTGTATAAATGGACCAAACCATGATTGACCTAGATGTTTTACTACGCTTACTATGATGTTGACAAACAATTAACGTACCAAAAAGGGGGGTCTCTGTATATTTTATTACCTAAGTGATTTGGTGGGTTTTCATGTAATTTATACTTGTAATAGTATTAGATATTTTGTATTTATAATAAATTGTAAAACTTGTTTCAATCTTGTTATCTGTTGTATATGTAATAAGTCAGTCAATATTAATGAGTTTCTGAGCTACCATATTTAGACCAGTGCCTTAACTGTTTTGCCTGCTACGTTACCAGTGCCTTGACCATTTTGCCAGCTACGCTACTAGTAATATAGAGTTTGCAACTCAAAACCAGGATTGACAGGTATTAGAATTACCAATAAAATAACACATAGTGTAAACCTGAATAAATACTTTTTACTCAGTGGGACACACCCACCCGTCCCGTAACAATATGTATAATAAATAAAATAATTGAAAATAGTTACATATATATATTTATACGGAAAATACAGAAAAGAAAGTAGTAAAAGAACTACAGTTTTCCTCGGTGTTATTTCTTTATTAAGAAAAAGCTTCTGTTCATGTTTTATAAAATTTGATGATCTCAAAGGTAAAGTATAGCAGGTATCGTTTTCTAAGCATCACTTCTAGGCATGTTGCAAAAATACTTTTTTGGTTAAAAAATACTTTACTATATTTACCAAGTACAAATGTATCATTCAATAAACTACAATAACATGTAAAACTTGAATTTAAAGATTAAATTATAAAAAAATAAGGTATCGTTTAGTGGTTTAAGGCCTTTCAGAAAAATCTTTTAAAATCAAGGGAAGATAATAATATTGAATTTGGTAGGACAATTTGTGTTTTGGAGATATTTCAATAAAATAATGCCCAGGACCATCTATTTATATCGAATATTCTGGAGGTATTTATAAAAAAAACACATCTCTCACTGTAAGTCTATTACAGAAGTTAAAGCAAAACCTATCGACAAACATTTACACAACCTAGCTACCTTAATTTTTTTTTTTGTATATCGAATCAGTCAACAAAATGTTTCACCCTTTTTCACTTTCAAAAATACCATTCTTTTCCTTTTAATATCTGAACATGCCTAGAACATGCATACCTTATTTCTAGGTAAGGGGTTAAGTTGAAGGTCACATGATTACGGAGACGATGAGGTTAAAATATTGACTTGCAAGTTAATAATACAAGCGATGTTTTTCAACTTTTTTGGCAAAATTTGAGTCAAACTGACTGCTTATAACGAAATACTACTTAAAAATTATGCTTTTAATAATACTTTAAATAAATATAATTATAGTTTAATTTTTTGTCTGTAAATCAAAGATAATGCCCTTTAACTCTATCTAAATATTGACAACATATATGTATCATAAAAAATTGATGGATTAAACGATTAGAAAATTATAAATTTATTCTTCAAAAAATATCCCTCAACCTTGTTTATCTCGTCTAACATCATTTCAGAATATTCTTTTTTCAAAATTGATTTAAGGATGTTTGCTGCTCTTGTTTTTGAATTTCTGCCAGATTTTCGGAATCCTCTGGTTTCATCCATGTATTGCCATTAAAAAAGTTTGCCCACTAACCCCTACTTTTCTTTTCATAATTTTATTGCATATAGTTTATAAAGCCATATTTGAAAATTTTATAAAATCCTTGTTTTTTCATGGTTTTTGAAACAAAAAAGCGGCCAATGTTAAAAGTATGAAAAATCTAGAGAGAATCATTTCCCGCCAAATTTTCAATGGCTTTTATCTCGAAAACAAGCACACGGACCCTTCATTTTTTTCTGCATTTTTAGTTCCTTTATTTATATACTAGCATATTAGAACAGTCTTTTAA